ATCAGAGGGGGACCACAACCAACCAGCAGGTGGCAACAATCGTGGGGACAGAATAGGGGCAATATGGTCATTAAAGGTTGTCATCACTGAATATAAGATCTGCAAAATGATCTGGAGGGTATCATGCGAGAATATTAGAAGTTTCTTTCTTTTGGGAGATCATTAGTTTCTCGAATTGCTAATTCTATCCACTTTTCCTTTTATTGCATTGTTCCTGTAGTTTTCAGCTTATATCCCTTTTCATTATTTAAGAAATCAATACAACAGTTATCTTGAGTTCTTTTATACATTGCAAGCTAGTTCATTACACAATCTAATGGACTCGATTAAAATGGGCCGAACAAGCCCAAACCGTGAAACCAAACCGGAACCAAATCGTTAGTAACGGTTTGGTTTTGTTCGGTTTTAATTTTTAAACGGTTCGGCTTCGGTTTTCGCTAGAAAAAAACCGTAACTAACGGTTTGGCTTCGGTTTGAGCTAAAAACCGAAAAAACCGGACCGTGAACACCCCTAGTTTATAATCATGTTTCCACTACTAGAAAAAAGGGTGTTTTCCTACGGAAAATTTTCGTAGCTAATTAGCTACGGAATGACTACGAATTAGCTACAGAATGGGACGCCCTAATTTAGTAACGAAATAGCTACGGAATAGCTACGAAATAACTACGGACGCTTGTCCGTAGCTATTCCGTAGCTAATTAGCTACGAAATAGCTACAGAATAGCTACGGAATAGTTACGAATGCTAATCCGTAGCTATTCCGTAGCTAGTTAGCTACAAAATGGCTACGGATACAATATTAAACCATTAAATCTCGAAGGTGCACACGACCTTATGAACGCTGTTAATAACTATAAGTTATTGAAAATAAAGATAATCATGTATACTAGAGGTGGGAAAAAAACGAAGAGAAAAAACAATGTTTAATGCCCGAAAAATCAAAATAAGAAAAATCCGTAGCTAATCCGTAGCTAATTAGCTACGGATTAGCTACAGACTTTTCTTATTTTCGATTTTTCAGACACCAAATGTCGTTTTTTTCGCTTCATTTTTTTTACCCCTCTATTATACATGATCATCTATATTTTCACCAACTTATAGCTATTAATATCATTCATAAAGTCGTGTGTACCATCGGGATCAAGTATTCGTTTCACAGTTTAACAATGTAATCACTATACTTTTCACCATCTTGTGATGGGTTTAATTTTGTATATGTATATTTACATACATGAATGAGTTGTGATATATGAGTACGCGTATGTGTGTATGTATACATGTTTGTGAATATTTTATATGTGAATGTAGATCATAAGCGTGTTAAACTATTAAACGAGTAATGGATCTCGTATGTGCACACGACTTTATGAATGATATTAATAGCTATAAGTTGGTGAAAATATAGATAATCATGTATAATAGAGGTGTGAAAAAAACAAAGCGGAAAAAATGTCGTTTGGTGCCCCAAAAATCGAAAATAAGAAAATTTCGTAGCTAATCCGTAGTTAATTAGCTACGGATTGGCTACGGAATTCTAACGGAAAGCATATTCCGTAGCTAATTACCTACGGATTAGCTACGGAATATGCTTTCCGTTAGAATTCCGTAGCAAATCCGTAGCTAATTAGCTACGGATTAGCTACGAATTTTTCTTATTTTCGATATTTCGGGCACCAAACGTCGTTTTTTTTTCTCCTTTTTTTTTCACACCTCTATTATACATGATTATCTATATTTTCACCAATTTATAGCTATTAATATCATTCATAAATATGTGTGCACATACGCGATCCATTGCTCGTTTTAGTGGTTTAACACTATAATGCTTATGAAGACGGGCAAAAACATCGCACAAACAGGTAGACCTACAGCAGGAGGAGGAGGAGGAGCATCAGCAGCAGCAGCAGCAGCAGCACCAGCACCAGCACCAGCACCAGCAGCAGCAGCACCAGCAGCACCATCAGCAGCAGCATCACCAGCACCACCATCACCATCACCAGCACCACCATCAGAAGCATCATCAGCATCAGCAGAAGCAGAACAGCAGCAGCATCACCATCAGCGGCAGCAGTATCACCATCATCAGCAGCAGCATCAGCACCATCAGCAGCAGCACCAGCAGCACCACCACCACCACCAGCAGCATCAGCATCAGCATCAGCACACCACCATCATCACCAGCAGCATCACCACCACCATCACCAGCACCATCACCAGCACCAGCACCATCAGCAGCAGCACCAGCAGCAGCATCAGCACCAGCACCACCAGCACCAGCACCATCACCACCAGCATCATCATCAGCAGCAGCATAAGCAGAATCAGCAGCACCATCACCAGCATCAGCAGCAGGATCACCAGCATCAGCAGCAGCACCATCATCAGCAGCACCAGCAGCACCACCACCACCACCAGCAGCAGCAGCAGCAGCAGCACCACCACCATCATCACCATCATCATCACCACTATCACCACCCTTACCATTACACCACCATCATCATCACCACCATCATTATCATCACCATCACCATCACCATCACCATCACCATCACCATCACCACCACCATCACCACCACCATCACTATCACCACCATCACCATCACACCACCATCACCATCACCATCACCATCACCATCACCATCACCATCACCATCACCATCACCATCACCATCACCATCACCATCACCATCACCACACCACCATCACCATCACCACCATCACCATCACCACCATCATCATCACTATCACCATCACCATCACCATCAATATCACCATCACCATCATCATCACCATCACCATTACCATCACCATCACCATCACCACTACCACCATCACCATCACCACCATCATCATCACTATCACCATCACCATCACCATCACCATCACCATCACCACCATCACATCACACCACCATCACCATCACACCACCATCACCAAACGTCGTTTTTTTTCTCCTTTTTTTTCACACCTCTATTATACATGATTATCTATATTTTCACCAATTTATAGCTATTAATATCATTCATAAATATGTGTGCACATACGCGATCCATTGCTCGTTTTAGTGGTTTAACACTATAATGCTTATGAATACGTTCAAAAACATCTCACAAACATGTAGACCGACAGCAGGAGAGAGGAGGAGGATGGAGCAGCAGCACCAGCATCACCAGCACCACCAGCAGCACCAGCACCACCAGCACCAGCACCATCACCAGCAGCAGCAGCAGCACCAGCACCAGCACCAGCAGCAGCACCAGCACCACCAGCACCAGCACCAGCACCACCAGCATAATCAGCATCAGCAGCAGAAGCAGAAGCAGCAGCACCATCACCAGCATCAGCATCAGCACCATCAGCAGCAGCAGCACCAGCATCAGCATCACCATCATCACTACCACCACCACCATCATCATCATCATCATCACCACCACCATCATCACCATCATCATCACCACCACCATCACCATCACCATCACCACCATCATCATCACCATCATCATCATCATCACCATCACCATCACCATCACCACCATCATAATCATCATAATCATAATCATCATCACCATCACCATCATCATCATCATTATCACCATCATCACCACCACCACCACCATCATCATCATCATCACCACCACCATCGTCACCATCATCATCACCACTATCACCACCCTTACCATCACACCACCATCATCATCACCACCATCATTATCATCACCATCACCATCACCATCACCATCACCATCACCATCACCATCACCATCACCATCACCATCACCACCACCATCACCACTACCATCACTATCACCACCATCACCATCACACCACCATCACCATCACCATCACCATCACCATCACCATCATCATCACCATCACCATCACCACCATCACCATCACCACCATCATCATCACTATCACCATCACCATCACCATCAATATCACCATCACCATCATCATCACCATCACCATTACCATCACCATCACCATCACCATCACCACTACTACCATCACCACTACTACCATCACCATCACCACCATCATCATCACTATCACCATCACCATCACCATCACCATCACCATCACCACCATCACCATCACACCACCATCACCATCACCACCATTACCATCATCACCATCACCATCACCATCACCATTACACCACCATCACCATCACCACCATCACCGTCACCCCCATCACCATCACTATCACCATCACCATCATCACCATCACCATCATCACCATCACCATCACCATCACCGTCACCGTCACCGTCACCATCACCATCATCATCACCACCACCACCACCACCACCACCACACCACCACCATCACCATCACCATCACCATCACAATCACCATCACCACCACCACCGCCACCATCACCATCACCATCACACTATCAATAGTCATCGTCATCATCATCATCATCCTCATCGTCATCATTTATGCATCAATTTGTTGTTGTTTATGTTTTGTTTTAAGTTTAATCAGGATTACACTTAAATGGGGGAGGTTTGTTGGTGATTTTATATCATCATTATTTAAGTGTAATTTGATTAAAATTGTTGACCAAAAGTGATCTTGTTGAATATTGAACAAGTTAGGATGGTGTAAGAGTGCACTTGTTCAAGTTTTTCAAGATTTAAAGTACATTTTTATTTAGAGGAGAAGCCCCTAAACGAACGGGGGTCCGGGAGCAGCGCCCCTGGCGGGGTCCAAAGGGCAGAGCCCCTGGCTGGGATCGAGCTGAGAGGTCAGCGCGAATTTTTTTTTATTTGGACTATGTTGCTATATTAAAAATGCATCAAAAATCCAATTTTAGAAAGTTGACCCTTTTTAGAAAGTTTACTGTTCGTGTGTTAAATATGTAAGAAAATTTATCAAAAAAAAAAAAAATTTAAGACTCGAATAATAATAATAATAATAATAATATTAATAATAATAATAATAAAACGGTAGACGAAGTGGTTAAAAGTTTTAGTGGACCAAAAGGGTATGGATGAGGCATTCCCAGCCCAGTGGTAAAGCTGATGGTTAAGTATGTAATGTACCCAAGTTCGAGTCCCTCTACCTCCGTTTTTTTTAATTTTTTTTTGGCCTTTTTCAGTTTCCCGGTTTTTTTTTTTTAATTGTTTTTGGCCTTTTTAAGTTTAGGGTTTTATATTTGTTTGGCCGCCTGCGCTTCCATTTTAGCGGGATCCAAATCGAGACTCCGAATAATTCTTCTCGCTTCTTCTTCCTCCCTTCTGTCTTCTGTGTTCGTTACCCAAAAAACCACCATCGACGTCTACCCATTTTAGAAAAGAAAAAAAAAAACACGCTGTGAGAAAAAGAAGGCGACGAGCGACCATCTCCCTCGTCGGCGGCCCTCTTTTCCGTCGATATTGCCGGCGCCGCCCGTCTCCGTCCAACTTTCCTTCTTCTCCGGCGCATCTGCTCTCCTCTCTCTCGGCCTCTTAGCTCGGTTCTTCCCCAAAAAGGTAAAACCCTAGTTTTTTTTTTTTGAAATTACTTCATATATACAATTTAGATGCCTTATTCAGTGATAATGTTGATATGTTTTGTTGAATGTGAGGTCGAATTTAAGGGTTTAGGTTAAATTTTGGTTGAATTTGATAAAATATTTGGTTAATTTCACCTCAACATGTGATAAAATATTTGGTTAATTTCACCACTCACAGTTACTTTATCCCTAATACAGATAACCAAAACAAGCAACCAATATTATTGATCACATTGTAGATGTAATTAGTATTGTATATTAATGGGTTTAACCGTCTAATACAGGGATTAATTAATCTAAATATGACAGATAGTGGTTAAATGGAGGATTTCTTAGTGGTACATCCTGATATACTCTGTTTCATCATGTATGGTCATGTATGGTCTTTAGTATTTCTACCAACCATTAATGAGCTAAGATGCTTATCATATTGATTTATAACTTGAAAAGAGAATATTTCATGATGTATTCAGATCTGAAATCAAGGCGTGACAGATATAGTTGCCAACCTACAAAAGAAGATGTTAAAAGATGCTTCATGTTAGAATTCGACAGATCTGTGAGTATTGGTTGATGTTTCTTCTTAAAGATAGTGAGAAAATAAACAACTTTAACTTGAAAATCCTTAACATCAATTTAATAATGATCTCACTAATTGTGTTTCAGGCTTTTATAATTGCATCAACTACAACAGAGGAGGAGATGCTAAGCTGGTAAGAATCCGTGTCCTTTTTTCATAATCATGAAAAGAGATTTATTTGTTTAGCTCTACATATGAAATTGACGAGGAAGGGAATTTTGACCCGTATTTATGCTCTTATGGTGCTACAATAGTTTTTCCTTTTTATTTTTGCTCTCAATCCCATATATCGCCTTTCTTTTATGGCATATTTGTTATGATGGAATGAAATCACAAAGAAATGGAACTGATAAGTGATAACTCACTAAGTGCAACAGGGGAATACTTGTCTCTTATTCACTAACCTTATCTTCAACCTCATAAATTTAATACAATTCACATTACAAGATTTTTTACATCTTGTTATTCTGATTAGGAATCATGAAATAGTTCTGGAAGCTCAATCACCCTACTAATCTTTGAATCACCATGTTCGGCTTATGAAATTCAAATAAGTCAAAATTTTGTTTTATACATTTGTGTATCTACCATTACATGCCACCTAAGAAGGCAACATTAAAGTGTGTTCTAATTTTGCAGGACCATGGTCTCTCAACTGGTGAAGCAAGAACAAATAGAAATTATTGTTGCCAAGGTGAATTAACTTAGGAATTTATATAACATTCTTATGCAATTCCTTTTAAGGTGTATATGTTTTGGTTTTCTAAGTGGCATATTTTGAATTTTAAGATTTGAAATATTTATAGATCAACTTTTTATAATTTACTTCATATCCTTTACTTGTAATTGTTTAGGCAAAAGAAATTCATCCGTCTTACTGATAACATTGTGCAGCTTGGATACGAGATGTGTATTCATTTACTGTATTTGATTTTCCACTTTTTTCTTTGAGGGAAACATTTTGAAGATATGTTATTTGGGACAAATGTGTTATTGAATGTGGGACAAATGTGAATTGAATTTGGTATTTGACAAAAAATTGGAACTTTTTAAATTAATTTTTTTTTAAAAAATAAAGCGAGGTTAGCTACGGATTTCCGTAGCTATTAAGGTCCGTAGCTATTCCGTAGCTATTTGGATCCGTAGCTATTCTGTAGCTATTTAGTTCCGTAGCTATTCCGTAGCTATTTGAATCGTAGCTATTCCGTAGCTATTTAGCTTCGTAGCGATTCTGTAGGAATTCCGTAGTTATTTTTTTCTGTAGCTATGGTAGCTACGGAATTTTCCGTAGCTATTCCGTAGCTAATCCGTAGCTATAATTTAGCCACGGGCCATTATGCTACAACCATTTTTCCGTAGCAATTCCGTAGCTATCCGTTTATAGCTACGGATTGTGCTGTAGCTATTGATCAAGTTTTCTAGTAGTGTTCCATCTAAAATAGTTCCAGCTTGTCTTGTGTTTATGTTAGGTGATTTTTGGTGAATATACTTACATTTATGTCGATTAATAGGTTTATGGTGGTAAAATTGAATTTGATGGAGAGAAGGTTAAATATGTCATTTACTTGAATTCAGATAGGTAATTCAGTTTTTTTCTTTTTAAATTTAAAAAAAAAACAATCATTTTTATACAATATTATTTTGATACAAACATCATTTATCAATTCACTAATTAATCCATAGATGACTAATAATAATAATAATAATAATAATAATAATAATAAATAGACATAAGGTTTATATAGAAATAAACATGTCGCCCCAATATGCAAAACCGATCTTATATTCTTCTGGTAAGTAATTGCCTAAAAAATGTAAGGAATAAAAGCCTTAACATTCTTAGGGAACTTATCCCCGAACTTTGATAGGTACCATTCCCGGGTGGCGTAACTCCTCCCTGTCAAGTATGCAATTGTGCCCAAAGTGAAAGCAAACGCATACAACGTTTGTGAAATGCATGAAATCCCTACATACCCAAGAATTTCAAATAGATAGTGTGGGCATATGACCAAATCAAACAAACCTCCTTGCGGGATTTTGTACTCTTTTTCCCCATTCTTCCTCAGATTAGCGAGAAGATAATGGTGGTAGAAGTTTCCGATTATTCCGACTACAAACAACCCAGTTCCAATGTATTTTAGATCTACCAAAGGCTCGGGAAAGTCTTTGGATAGATATTGAGTATAAATCATTGTCGCCGTGGAAAAGGTATAACTCAATGAGATGATTATTGCCGATTCTAATAACATGGAACCACTATACTTGTGAAGAAAAAGGACCTACATCATGAAGTTGAAATACAATAAAAAACCAAACACGTTTATTCCATTAAAATTTCAATTGAATCGAGATCCAAACAAATAACATTTGTTTTTATCCTGCCCATCCATGGGAGCATCAATGTGATTTGTACATCCTCGGCCGTATCAGTAGGTGGGTGGACGATGGCCTAAGCCTCCAAATTTCTAGGGTCCATTAAGGCTTCCAAATTTCTAGGGTCCATTAAGGCTTCCAAATTTCTAGGGTCCATTTTTTTTTATGTATCTACATATATTATTATAAGAAAAAAGCATTTGGTATTAAGTCATCAAAAATGAAAAAAACGAGATTGTAGCCAAAATTGATGGAGAAGACGAAGAGATTCCAACAGATTCTTCGAGAATCTAAGCAATTAATCATTTTTTACTTAAAAATTATTATTAACGACCTATTTTTTATTTTGTCCCGAGCCTCAAATCGGTTTGAATCGGCCCTGTGTACATCAGACATATGTTGACATGTTAGGTGTCTGACAATGCCCATAATAAACTCAATCCACATTGGAACTAAAACTCTACTGTTGAGGCTCAAACCATTGATTGTTTCCTCAAAGATACCACCATCTAATTAAGTATTGTTATATGCGTCCCGGAAACAAAACACAACATATTTTAGGAGTCCAGTATTGGATGTACCTCAAGTACCCTTTTGAGGAAATGAGCGGTGAGAGCCGAAGCAAGCAACATGAATCTAAGATCTTGATCGTGAAACACCAGTAAAGAAGCCAAGCCCACGAGAAACGCGGGTGTATACGAAAAAAGCATACCGTTCCTACTTGATAACTTTGTATTATCCTCTTTCTTTACAACGCCTACGTTCAAGAATTTGGAATATTGCATATGCTTGCCTTTGATCTCCATGTACCCTGCACTCGATAACGACGTAAGGCCGATGACCGACATGGTGGAGACAAACAACGAAGGTGGTGGTGGAAACAAGAAGTTTAGCATAACGGAAGGAATTGCCATTTTGATTCTGTTTGTTTTTTTGAGCTTAATGTGGTGTATTATAGGTCGAGGTGTAATGGGGTCATTCATACAAGTAAATTAATATCAGTTGTACTAGTAGTTGGTGTCGTTTGCAACATGGATAAATGTGTGGTTGTGATTGTAAATCAACATTGAAAGGGATAAAGGGTTTGGAAAGTAAAAAAGAAAAATCCAGAACAAATCGTTTATTGTTTTACAATATTATTTTCGGCTATTACAAATAATTATTAAAAACCATAATTTGAATATATGGTACAAAATTTGTACTTTAGGACGTGTTTGATATGAAGTTTTTAAAATCTTACTTTTTAAGAAAAAAACTTGGAAGAAATGAAAAAAAAAATTCCGTTCGCTTTTAGTTTTTATTTTAAACAAAAAAAACTTTTAATTTAAAAGCTAATTCAAATAGTTTTTGAAATCTTTAGTTTTTAGTTTTTATATGATTTCACATTTAAATGCTAACAACTATTTTTTTAGAATACTTATTACACACAAATAAAAGTGACGGTTTCCAGCTTTAAACAACCATTCTTTTCTACCAAACTACCAGCTATTAGCTAGTTTGCCAAACAAGTCCCTGATTTATTTATTTAAAATTTAAAAATTAAAATAAGGTTTTCCTATCTGCATGGAGCTGATACTACTCACATGGGAAAGTAAAATAACTTAGAGCCACTATCAAACTTAAAGGTGACAGCGATCTCATTTCCTTAATTCCTTTCTAACATTTTTATGTTTTACAAAACTACCTTTGTTTAATATGACTTTTTGACTACCTTTAAGAGACCACGTAATACATATACAATGAGAATCCCCTCTAAGAAAATATATATTGAGGTTATTAAAATTATGATTTCGTAGGATTGAACCTTAGGTAAATCAATTCAGATCTTACTTAGATCGTTTTCCGATAAAATCACGGTAGAATCGTAGGATCGGATCGTAAATTCGTAGGATCATTACTATTTTTTTAAAAGAAAATTCTAATATTTTTTATCGGACTAATTATGTAAAAATTACCAATTTTGAATTGCTTATCATTAAATGATGTATTAGATATGTGATTTTTATGTTTTAAACTAACTTATTGTTAACTGAATGCTTAACCGGTGGATGAAAATGTATTTTTTATTTTTTTAAAATGATTTTGGTAGGAACTTACGATTTGATTCGATCTTACGATCACGATATTGTAAAACGGAAAACGACCATATATAAGATCCCGATTTTGACAACCTTGGTCTATACGACCTGTAATGAACTCTCTCACTTTCTTTTTCTTCCCTCCTCTCTTTTCATGCCCTTTTTAGTCATTTTACAATTATAAAGTTTTTTGTCACCACAAAGCTAATCCAAACACTTTTTAAAAACTTTTTAAAATATAACGTTTTAGGGTGATCAAAAGTCCAAAGTGTAAAAAAAGAAACAAAACACAAAGTAATAGCCTTCCACTGTCTTCAAATCCTTTAACCAGAAAAGTGAATGGAGGTCGAAGGATCATTAAAGTAGTTACCTTTGTATGGTTTACCCTCTTTTATACAGCTGTTTAATTATACTCAATTTTTTTTGAAGAAAATCTCAAGAGCTTTCTTACATGAATCATCTAATTCTAGCCTATGTGTAGTCAACAATTCAACCATCAAAGTCGATGTATACACATTTGCTGCAAAACCACAATCACGCATTCTTTCAAGCATTGAAATCGCCTTCACCATTTCTTTGTGCATTATAAATCCCTGAACTATTATATTATACGTAAAACCATCTGGAAAACAACCACTATCAATCATCTTTATAAGTAACTCATCTGCTTCATCAAGTTTACCCCTTTTACAAAGCCCATTCATCATAATATTATATGTCCTAACATTAGGTTTCAACCCTCTAGCAGAAAGTTCTGAAAACAATTTATTTGCAGCATCAAGTTTCCCATCTTTACACAAACCATCTATTAGGCAATTACAAGTGACTATATTAGGCATCAACCCAACATCATCAATCTTTGCAAACATCTCTAATGCCTCTTTTACTCTCTTATGTTTACACAAAGAATCCACCAATGTGCTATAAGTAACAATATTCGCTTTCAAACCACAAGTTTTCATCTCATCAAAAAGTATCATTGCATCCTTGAGTCTCCCATCATGACACAAACCACTTATAAGAGTACTATATGTTACAACATTAGGATCAATCCCATTTCTTGACATTTCCTTAAAGAGACTCAATGCTTCATCAAGTCTTTTACTTTTACAGTACCCATTAATTAAAGTATTATAACTTATAACACAAGGTGCACAATTATGTATCATCATGTGATCTACTAAATTTCTTGCATCGTCTACCCTGTCAACCAAACAATACACATCCATTAATGAATTGTAAGTTACAGTATCAGGTGATTCACCTTCTTTAATAATGGATGCAAACAGATTGTGTGCTTCTGTTGCTTTCCCTTCTTTACATAGTGCATCAACTAAGATGTTAAATGTTTGTACATCGCGTCGGATATTTTGAGCAAACATGTCCTCTAAAAGTCTTTTGGCTTTGTCCCATAATTCAGAGTTACACACGCCTTGAATCAAACAGTTGTAAGTTATGACATTGGGTGTTATTCCTCTTTCAATCATCTTATAGAAGAGTTTTAATGCATCGTTTACCTGTTCATCCTTGCAAAGACTATCTATGACTGTACTGTATGCAACAATGTCAGGCTTACAAACCCTAGATCTTTCCATCTTCTTGAGCAAGATCATGGCAGAAGAAGTGTTTCCCAGTTTACAAAGCCCATTAATTAACGTGTTATAAGTAACCACATTAGGTTCAAACCCATTCTTTACGATTTGGTCAAAAAAGCTGACTGCTTGATAGAGTTTACCATCATTGCATAGACCCCGGATCAACGTATTGAAAATTGGGCAGTTTGGTTCGTAACCCAGCTTCATAACATTCCCTAAAACCGAAAACCCGAAACGCACTCGATTTGAATGGCAAAAACAGTTTATTGCGATGTGGAACGTATATATATCAGGCTTCACCAAAGGGTTGAGACCTAACAGGCCTAATCGATGTATCATAGACATAGCAGTAGAATATCGCTTGAATTTGACGACAGTGGACATTAATCTGGTAAAGTTTTCAATTGAGGGAAGAGGTCGTCTTTGAAGCATTTTATCAAACACCGACAGTGCATCAGCTACAGCTAGGTCGCCTGAATGGGAACTATACTTTTTTGAACATCCTTCAAGATTTCTGGGAGAATCAGGACGACTCAAGTAAAATGCACAGCGGAAATGAAGACACTTGCTGAATTTGGAAGGGGCAACAGCAATCGTCTTCATCATCAGACACCAATAGAGCAGGTAATGCCCATATGCATTTCCGATGTGTTTTTGTAGAAATAATAATCCTGTTATAATAAATAAATAGTTTTATTTTTTTTATTTTATTTTATTTATTTATTTTTTTTTTTTTTTTGCGAAGTGTGAGTGTAATACAACTCCTCATTAATATTATGTCAGTGTCATATAGATATATTAGACAACTCATTTTAAAATTGAAATTTACATTTTCTAATTATATGTTAAAGACAAAATTGCAAAAATGGTCCCTGTGGTATGCATTTTTTTGGGGTTTTAGTCCAAACCACAACTTTTTTGGATTCGTAATCATTTTGGCCTAATTTGATCGTGGTTTTGGTCCCTCGAAAAACTAAAAAGACTAAAATGCCCTTCTTGTATATTTTTTATATATATATTTTTATATTTTTTCTATTTAATTTAATGTTTTATTATTAATAAACGTTGGGCCCCACCCACCCACCCACCCACCCTTTATATATATATTTTTATATTTTTTCTATTTAATTTAATGTTTTTGTTTTTGTTTTGTTTTTTTTTTGTTTCAGAAATGATTTGAAGAACAAACGATTCATATTCGATATTGTTCCACATGTTACTTGTGATTTCATCGCCCTTGACCCAATCATCACCGCCAGCTGCACTCTGTGATTCCCACCACCCACCACTGCTGGCAATTCGTAGCCACCACTGAACGCCTTCGTTCTCCATTTCCACTGGCATGTAACAGATCTGCAGCATCAGGAGGAGCAACTGTAGCCGATTACTATTAACGGTGTTTACACCTCTTAAACCACTATCGCTCCGAAAAGGGTGAACGGAACCCTCGCCGATGCCGATCAGAGATCCAAAACCGCGAAATTCGCAGTGGAGATTCTCGGGGAGGAGCTTCGAGCTGTGGAGGTGAGTGGTGGGGGAGATATTGAGAGAAGAGAACACACTACATACATCTTCATCCACATCGATTGAAGGAGGAAGAGAGCTTGCTATCTGATCCCGATCGTACCCCGATAAAACACCGGAATCGGTGAGAACCCCCGACGAAAATGACTGAAAAGTACCTTCGTTCTTGAGGAAGAAGACGAAGAGGAAGAGTTACTCCTTATTTCTTGGTTTTTTTCTTAAACAAAACACACTCCAGATTTTCAGATTTGTTCTTGAGGAAGAAGACGATCAGAGAAGAGAGAGAGAGAGAGAGAGAGAGAGAGAGAGAGAGAGAGAGAGAGAGAGAGAGAGAGAGAGAGAGAGAGAGAGAGAGAGGGGTGGGGATCAATGTTTATTAATAATAAAACATTAAATTAAATAGAAAAAATATAAATTTTTTTAAAAAAAATATACAAGAAGGGCATTTTAGTCTTTTCAGTTTTTCGAGGGACCAAAACCACAGTCAAACTAGGCCAAAAGGACTACTAATCCAAAAAAGTCGTGGTTTGGACTAAACCCTAAAAAATTCATACCACAGGGACCATTTTTGCAATTTTGTCTATGTTAAATTTGAAGTTATAATAACTTTAAAATTTTGATATATCTCTTAAATAATATATTTAAAATAATCGATTAATAATTATAAATTTTTATTATAAAAGTTTAATTAATTTTATAACCGTGGTTCCCACGGGTTATAAACTAGTAATAACAATAAAAGAGTAAATTATGCCAATGCTCTTTATGGTTTACGATAATTTGTATGCTCGTTTTTTTTTTAATTCAGATCTTTATTGATTGGTTTTATTTCGTGTTTAGTCCCTAATGTATCTAAATTTACTGTTATACCTTCTTTTCCTTTTTTTAACCTTTTTTATTTTTTGGTTTTAAAGTTTCAATAAAACATAAAAACTCTATGGACTATTTCTCTAATTACATGAAAAAAATGTTTAATTTTAGTCCTACCTGCTTATCCATTTTTTATATTCCTTCTTTGCTTTAATAATTGTAGGTGCACCAAATCCATCACTGTCGTGGCTTTCGCCACTTGAAAACTTCACCGTCGCCCCGTCAATGCTCGTCGGATATCAGACCATCACCGGAAATCTCTCTTCATCCTCACCAAATTTGAAGACGGAAACCACGAAGACTCTCTCCAACTCCACCAAACCACCTCGCAGAAACCTCGTGAAACTTGTGATTCGTTGCATCGTCCACCACTCCCTAATCTTACCATCGTTTCATATCACCATCAACGACCCTTACAATGAAGCACACTTGTTTGCAATCTCGTATTATCGTCACCGCCACCATTGTCAATGAGGAACCTTCCTATGATTTTCACACTATGTCCGAAAATCGTTTAAAAAACCTCGTGAATCGTTTTATTTTGATTTTCGTTTCATACATCAGTATTTCTATACTGGATTTGATTTTTCATCTGGATGATATTATTCTTTGTTTTCATGTAACTTTTAGATCTAGAATCAATTTCATAGAAACTCGTAGAAAAACACCAAAAAGGGAAAGAATGATGTTGTTCTAATTCCTTTAATTTTGGACCTCTATTTATTTTCCAAAAAATAAAGTAAACAAATTAGATAAATAGTATTTCATCTTCAATTCTATTCCAATTTTTACTTACTTTTTTATCCCAAAAAATATATTTTTAGTATATTTTATTTTTGTAACTTAAACAGATTGTTAAACACACCATTTTATTAATTAGCTTTTAACAAATCCATATTATATCTTTTTTTTCATTACAATAATATATGTTTTCATATTTGTAAGATATATTTCAATTATAAGTTTTTATAAAAAAAAATGTTATAGTGTTTTAATTTTTTAATATGTATTTATGTTTTTATATGAATTGGATACATAAATATTAAACTTTTCATTTATAATTGATTAATATAACTTAATATATAACAAGGCATTACAAATATTAAATAATACATTTTAAAGACAAAACTGCAAAAACGGTCCTTGTGGTAAACATTTTTTCTGAGGTTTAGTCCAAACCTTAATTTTTTTGGGTTCGTGGTCCTTTTGAGCTAGTGTCATTGCGGATTTGGTCCCTTGGTAAACTAAAATGACTGTAATACCATTGGGGTATTTATTTTCTATTATCTTTCATTTTTTAAATCTAATAACTGATTTATTTATTTAAACAATTAAAAAAATAAGACGAGTCATCTCTCTCTCTCTCTCTCTCTCTCCAATTAATACGATCATATAAACCTAGATATTGCGAACCGTATGAAGATCTGGGTTCAGATTCAACAAACATATAATACCCCAATAACATAAAATCAAAACAGTAATCTATCACACCTACATTAAAACCCATCTCCAAACATGATTTTCTTTGAATAACATTTGAAGATACAATATGAACAAGAAAAACACATCAGATTTTCTAGGTTTATTTGAAATCACATACACTCATCAGATTTTTTAGACTTCTTCAAAACACACACACACTTATGAACATAGATACTCAAGAAAAACACACATATGATTTTCTAAACACACACACACACACACTGATGAACATACATACTCAAGAACAACACACATCAATAATTTTAAAACCATCAACCTAAATTTCAGTTTTTTAACCTAATTTTCAAGTCCATCAAATTGAACTTAAAACCTATATCCATCTTCCAGATCAAATTCGAAAAAAGAGTAATTGAAATACAGATCCATCACCTTCAACCAGCGACCCTCCCAAATCCATCTATTAGACCATTTTCGAAAAAAAAAACAAAAAAAAAACGCTAGAAGAAGAAAGGATATGAAACTAATCAGTATGGAGGTGAAGAAATCATATCTAGCTTCCTTTTCTTCCAACGTGTTAATAGGGGAAGGAGAAACATCCAAGCACAAATGATGAAATCCCTCGAAAGCCCCCAATTCGTTTATGGCTTCAATTGATTCCAGCGATACCAATAGATTAGGAGAAACAACGAAGACAAAAATGATGGTGGTGATGTCGTGTAACGTCTGGGATTTATAAGTAACTATTCTTAATTATTTAAGGTTAATAGTTTTTTTTTTTAAAAAGTTTGGGATTAGACCTTTGGGCCCTTGTAATTGGGTTGAGGAAGCACCGTATGCGGATCGTACTTTGCCATGTACGCTCAGCGTACTTAAGAGATTGGAACGCGGAAGCCCTGCACGTACGCCCAACGTACCAAAGGGTACGCGCAGCGTACGTATGCAAATTCTAAAACCCTAAATTTTAGGGTTTGATCCCTATATAAAGGACCTCATGCCTTTGGTCCAGCCTCCCTCTCACCCTTAGACAACCACCACGAATACCCTAAACCATATTTGTGTGTTCTTGTGATTTGGTAGCCACTTGAGAGCATTTTAGTGTTGTTTTGGTGTTTGGAAGAGAAAGAAGTTTGAAGAAGGAGCAAGGATTCAAAGGGAGCTTGTAGATCCAGAATATTAGCACCATTTCTGACTCATTTGAGGTATCAAGCTTCAAACTTGATCACTACATGCTTAGATTTGATTTTGGGGTGTTTTATGTCACTTTTGGACTCCATTGTTGAGGTTGCTTGAATCTTGATAGTTTCAGACCATAAGAGCTTTCCTTTTGAGCTCTTAGAAGCACTTAGAGTCATAAAAATTGGACCTTGATGGTTAAGCCACAACCATGCAAGTGTTTGATGGTCACAAAGTTGGTTAAAGGACCAAAATCATGTTTTGACCCCCAACCATGCATGCAAGCACATAAAGTTTGTGACTTTATGGACTAGGATGTCCTAAAGGACCTGGATCTACATTTTGGATGTGAGGACTTAATGGATTAAGTCATAAATGAAGCCCCAAAGAAGCTGGCCGGTACGCCGTGCGTACACCCTGGTACGCTGCGCGTACTGGGTCAACTTCCCACTTTTAGTCAAGGCCAGCGTACGCTGGGCGTACGTGCCATGTACGCCGTGCGTGCGCATGTAGAGTGGCGAAATTGGGCTTTTGGGCCTTAGAAGTTTGGGCCTGGATAGTTGGGCCCCATGGCCCACTGTGGAGTAGAGTTTTTGGGCCTAGAACTGAGACTTAGAGTATTGGGCCTTTTGGGCCATATTGGGCCACTCGAAATTATTTCTTTTGGGCTAAGGATTTATTGGGCTTGCGAAAAGGCCCATTTGAGGAGTTGGGCCCAATTTAGAAAATTGGGTCATTAGTGGGCCTTTAGTGGACCAATAGTGAGCTGGGAAAGATAAGATGGAATTGGGCCTTGGGTATGGTCCAACTTAGACCAAGGGGTAAAATGGTCATTTTACCCTAAGAAGTATTATGGATTTTGACTAAGTGTTGTTATGATAATGATAGCCGGGGAGTCATCAGAGCAGCTGTTAGAGATTCCTTTCAGTGATATTCGACATTCAGCTTTACGAGGTGAGTTACCTTCCAGTAGAAGTGGGTCAAAGTCACCAATGCCGACCCACTAGTAAGAGTTATAGTAGAGATTATTTTCTTTGTGATAATTATCTGGCATGCCACTATCTGTTATGCTTTATGTACCAGTCTGCTATGACATTATGTGAAAGTAGTAGGAGGGGTAGGATAGCCCTCAATACCGGTCGAAAGGACTGAAGGGGTAGGACAGCACCCTGATATGCTAGGCAGTATGTGACTTATGTGTTTATGTACTAGGAGATTACATGGTAGAAGTAGGTGTGAAATAGTCCCCGGTACCGTTCGAAAGGACCGAAGGGGTAGGCCAACATCCTAATATGCTAGACAAGTTACAGGCTGAAAGAGATCGAAGGGGTAGGCCAGCACCCTGATATGCTAGGCAAGTTACTGGTTGAAAGAGACCGAGGGGGTAGGCCAACACCCTAATATGCTAGGCAAGTTACCAGTTGAAAGAGACAAAAGGGGTAGGCCAGTACCCGGACATGTTAGACAGTATGTTTATTGTATGGTATGTGGTATGATGGGGGAACTCACTAAGCTTTGTGCCTACGGTTTTCAATTTTTGTTTCAAGTCCTTCTTCTTCGAAGGGAAAGGTGCCGGCACGATAGCAACACATCACACCATGATTTTCTGCACTATGATGTTCTTGGGATTTTGTACTCTGACATTATTATATTATGACATGTTTTGAGACATATGGCGTATGGGTTTTTATGATATGAGATGACTTCATGATGTTTTCAATAATCTATTTTATGAATTATTAAATTAAAAATGAAATTTTTGGTCTTGAATTTTGGGATATTACAAGTTGGTATCAGAGCCTTGGTTTGAGGGATTTGGACACACCTTCGGGGGTGTCTGGACTCAATTCGAGGGTTTGAAAGATTTTTACAAGTAAAATATTTTGTCAAAAAAATTAAAGTTGAGAGTTTTGAGAAAGAACAAGGTGTGTGATGCGTGCAATTGGCCGAGCTTAAGTAAGTTTTCCCCAAGATACCCATACATGTTTGCTATGATATATGACATGATTATGAGAACTGCATGCTAGATTAGGGCTAAGGATCTAGGAAGGATACCTTATATGCCTATTGTATGGTTATGAGAACTGCATGCTAGATTAGGGCTAAGGATCTAGGAAGATGCCTTATGTGCCTACTATATGTGCTTATTGAATTACATGCTAGAACTGAATAGTCAGTGAGATGATAGCATGAATAGGATATGGTTGGTTTGGTTACTTAATGCCCGAATGCTGCTTGCTTTGTGCTTTAGGAGTTCTAGTTATCTCTAGCTAACTAGTAAACGAATATGTTAAGTTACATATTACGAGGACTAAATAATTTCAGAAGGTTAGGTCTAGCCCTATTTCGCAGCTCTTGTTTGAGTCCAACCGTTGTAGGGTAGGACCCCTCATTCGAAGAATTATCTAGTCTTAGTAATATGTAATGGTAGTCACGAGCTAGTTAGGGAGAGATAGCATGGAATTATTATGCAGCTGATGGCGGAGAGTAGGTTGGAGAGTTACCCTAGGGTAAGCCTAAGATGAGATTAGTGCAGCGAGCAGTAGTGGTGAAAGGGACTTGGTGAAATCAAGGCAATCCTTGAGGAAAGTATGAATAGATGTGGAAGGTAGTATGGTCCCGTACTACTGAAAGTAGAGGATCCGTATTCGAGTCAAGGAGGGCTTATATAGAACTAGGGAACTTGTAGAGTGTGTAAGACCTCTCTAGATTATGTATGACCCTGACGATTATGTGTTTTGTTTCA